CGATTAATGGAGCTCGACGTAGCGAGGCTCCTAGCTAAGGAAGAAAAACGACGAAAAGACAATAACTTATGCTTTAAATGTAGAAAAGTAGGATATCGGGCGCGTAAGTACTATAATCGGCGTAATAACGTAAAGCTATAGGCGCGTGAGCGTAGCGGACGTAATAACGCGAAGCTATAATAGCTACGGGTAACTCGAGATAAGATACGACCCTAATAACTTAGGGCCACTCACGACGGAGCGGAGCGCCTAAAGGAAGCTATTACTAAGGCTACTCTAGATAAGTACGAGCACCTAAAGGACTAGGTCACTAAGTAGGCTACTAAGAAGCCACTAGTTAGGAAAGAACCTAAGGTTAAATAACTAATCTAAGACGAAGTCGACGAACTATTAGCTAAATAGACAACTTTAAGTCTAGAGTAAATCGATAAGCTACGATAACGATCGAAGGAAAAAACCACGGACACCTTCGAAAGTAATAACGAATACCGCGGCCTAAACAGCGCAGAGTACGCGACGGAATCCCCGAGATTAATTAGGAAAATATTAAGAGTTAAGGGTAGACCTAGTATAGTCCCTAGAACACCACCGACTCCTAGGAACTATCCGACGACTCCTAGGAGTAGGGCGTAGGGATCCTAAAGACGCTAATCGAGACGCTAGGAACCCTAGAGGTCCTAGAGACTCTACCTACGCTCCTAGGAACGGATACTACTAAATAGCCTTAAGAAGAACCCCATAAAAACAGACAACAAGAAGTAGAGCGATAGATCCGAGAGATCGTTACGGATAGCAACCTACCGGTTAAATCGCTAGCCACACTTATTAAGGTACTCGATAAGGTCCGGGACGTCGTTAATAAACGACTAACCATAGGATAATGCCTATACGACGAATAGCGTTATATATACAAAGGATACGCACGATACCTAGAGCACAGTCTAAGAACTGTCTCGGCGTGCTACGATGATAGATATATAATACACGTAGCGGGAAAGGCCGAAAGGAGCCTAGAACCAAAACCGCTATAATAGGAAAAGAAACCTAATTAGAAACTAGAATACGCGGGACTTTAGTACGGGAACCGGAGGATAAACAACGAATAATACCTTATAGCCACGGCGTAGGGCTTATATTTAAAAATCACTACTAATATCGCGTTTCGACTAACTAGAGTAATAATCGACTCGGGAGCGGCAGGAAACTTCATAAGTATACGATACAAGCGACAACACAAGATCTAAGGCGTGGAAAAATCGCGACCTATACCTATTATTAGACTTAACGGGGAGAGTCTAGGACTAGGGATTACGCACGAAAGTAGTATACTACTAGTAGTTATCGGTGACCATTTTAAAGTCATTAACTTCGACATAACACTACTCGGAGAATATAACGTAGTACTCGGGGTGCTATAGTTAAGGAAATATAATCTAACTATTAATTAGCGAACAGAAAGTATCGTCTTCGATAGCTACTCGTGTCGATAGACTAGCGAGGTATAGACCGGAAGAATTAAGCGAGTAACGCTAAAGAGACCTAGCTCGGGGGAAGTAGGTACTTATAAGGACCCCCACGAAGGAAAACTTAAGGGGAGTTTTCGGCTAGGAGGTAGGCCTAATAAACGAATAAGCGATATCGGAGATATCGCCACCACGGAATAACGACTAGATATAACCGACGAGGAACTAAACGAATACGTTCTCGTCCACGACGATATAACGACCCTCTATATAATAGGATCACTAGAGGAAGAATATAAGATTCCTAAGGAATACACAGAATTCTAGGATATATTTACGCCACCACCGGACGGTAAGCTACCGGAGTATAGTCCGTTCGACCATAAAATCAAGATTAAGGATAACTAGGAACTAAAGTTTATACCGATTTACCCACTATCGCAGAAAGAGTTAGCGACACTAAAGGAATATATCGAGGATAACCTTAAGAAGGGAAACATTTAACACTCGAAATCGTTAGCAGGATACCTAATCCTATTTATACCCAAGAAGGGAGGAGAACTTAGGATATATATTAACTACCGATAACTTAACGATATCACTATTAAGGACTAGTATCTATTACCGTTAATTAACGAAATCTAAGATATTATTTAGGGAGCGAAATACTTTAGTAAATACGATATTACTAACGCCTATAACCGACTTAGGATTAAGGAGGGGGACGAATAGAAAACGGCATTTAGGACTAAATTCGGACACTTCGAATATAAGATTATACTATTTAGACTCACTAACGTACCGGCATCGTTTTAACGATTTATTTTTCACGTTTTAAACGGATACCTCGATAAGTTCGTTATCGCGTACCTCGATAATATCCTCGTGTTCTTAAAAACCGAAGAAGAGTATATTTAACACAATAAGTTAGTACTATAGCGGTTAAGGGAAGTAAAGGTTATACTTAAGCTTAAGAAATATAAATTCCACGTCTAGAATACTAGTTTTCTCGGATACACTATTAGTCCCGATAGACTCGGAATGGAAGGAGATAAGGTTAGAAGTATCCTTAAATAGCTAACACTAATATACGTTAAGGACGTATAAAGCTTTCTTAGACTCGCTAACTACTATCGGAAACTAATACCGTAATACTCGAAATATATAGCCGGACTCTACCGATTCACTAAGAAGGGAATACCGTTTAAATAGGATGACGAAGCGGAAAGATCGTTCACCGCACTTAAAGAAATATATAATAAACTAGCCGGATAGGTAATCGTTATAACGTTTAACTACGACTTACCGATTATTATCGAAACCGACGTATTAGATTTCGCGCTCGGAGTATAGATTATATAACTAGGAAAGGACGGTAAGCTTAGACCTATCGCTTTCTAGTCTCGTAAGATAATCCTAGTAGAGCTTAACTACGATATTCACGATAAGGAATTACTAGCTATAGTATCGGTATTCTAAATATAGAGGGCATACTTAGAAGGAGCAAAGCATACTATAACGGTTAGGACGGACTACTATAACTTAATATACTTTACTATAATAAAGAAACTCACTCGACGATAAGCTAGATACGCGGAAACACTAGCCGAATACGATTTTAAGATTATACACTATAAAGGAACTAAGAACGTAGTAGCGGACGCGCTAAGTCGACGACCGGACTACGAACTTAGAACTAAGGAGGTAGTACCCGCGATCCTAACCACAGATTAGGAAGGAAACATCGTCTATAACTATTAAATACTCGTAGTAACTAGCGAATTATAAAACGACGAATAGATCGATAGGATTCGAGAAGTAACTACTAATAACGAATCTATACAGAAGATCCTAGGTAACAGTACTACACTAACTAGGGACGGCTTGGTCTATATCTATAGTCTAGTGTACATTCCTAGGAACCTTTAAAACGAAATTATTAAATTACATCACGACGAAATAATATAAGGACACCACGGAGTTAAGAAGACTATCGAGAAAATTACACGAAATTATTATATCCTAGCGCTACACAGAAAAGTCAAAAAATACATTTAATAATACGATTCATATTAGCGAAATAAGGCATCACGATATATACTATACGGGGAAATAGAACTAGCAGAAGTACTAAAGCGGCTATAGGAATAGATCACGATAGACTTCATCACGAAACTACCTATCTCGGAAGGTAACGACATAATCATAGTAGTCGTCGACCGACTTACTAAGTACGTATATATAATCCTAATAACGGAGACCATCAACGCACGATAGATAGCTAACCTACTACTTAGACATATATTTACGAACCACGGTACACTAGATAAGATTACCTCGGATAGAGATAAACTATTTATATCTAACATATAGTAGTCACTAGCGGATTAACTCGGTATTAAACACAGACTCTCTACCGCTTATTATCTATAGACTAACGGACAAACGGAACGAGTTAACTAGACCCTAGAACAATACCTACGGCATTACGTTAACTTTTAGCAAGACGACTAGACAGGATTATTACTAATAGCGCAATTTACGTACAACAACGCAATATACGTAACCACGAAAGAAATACCATTCTTCGCGAATTACGGGCTTAACCCTACTATTATCGGAGAACCGATCGGTAAGTAACCACTCGTAGAGTTATCTCGACTACTAGCGACTAGGTTAAAGTAACTACATTTATAGCTATCACGAGATATCGAGTTCTTAAACCTACGCATAAAATTCTATTACGACTAATCGCGCTAGGAGGCGCCGGACTTTTAAAGGGGGAAAAAGTTTACCTCTTACGACGTAATATTCGCACTAGACGACCTAGCGCGAAACTCGACTACCTCAAATTGGGACCATTTAAAATTACGGAAAAAACAGGACCGCTTAATTATCGTCTAAAACTACCTAACGGTATACGACGTATTCATATAACCTTTTATATCTCATTATTAGAAAAAGCACCAAAAAACGCCGAAATCGCTACCAATATAGAAATAGAGGAAGAAACAGAAAACGAATATAAGGTCGAATAAATCCTAGACATAAACAAGGTCAGCGGAAGACCTCACTACCTAGTGAAATGGAAAGGATACGATACCTCGGAAAACACTTAGGAACCTATCGAGAACCTAATAGGTTATTACTAGCTAGTTCGACGGTTTCACTAGCGAGATAAGGGGAGCTAGGAGCCTCGCCTAGCAAGGTAGCGTCTAGGTCGACCTAGGAAAACGACGGATCATTTAACAACTAAGTCAGAGTAGGATCCTCTAACGTCGCCGCAAGAACCTAACTATTAGTCAGGGAAGCAGATTAAGGCACACCGGTCGCGGCACGGGCGCTCTCTACATCACGTTCATTTTGCTTAAACTCAACACGCTCTTTTTCAAGACGATTACGCTCTTTAGCCTCGCGACGCTCGAGCTCTTCAAGCTCGGCAACCTCCTTATAATCCCGCGCGATGAAATCACCGGCACGCTTTTACAATAACCGTTTTTGCTTCCGGAGGCGAGCCAATTTAGCCAGCATCAATTGCTACTGCAATAAAATGGCTTCCTCCTCCTCCTCTAAAGAATTCTGAGACTTCACGAGGCGACGCCACTCGGAATCGGTAAAGGTAGGATTCGATATAGCGCACTTAACACCACCACCTCCGCGAACACAATCACTACAACGATCGGAACAATCGGCGCGGATACACGCTCGTTTAAGGCGAACGTAACGATCATAAGGGACCACGGATTCGAAACCTTCGTCTTCGATACGACGAGTTAAGGCGTTCTTGCGAACGGAAGCCTTAGAAGACATAGTCAACACAACAGGAGAAGCATCACAGGGGAGGAAGACTCACTAAGGAAAAGGGCTAAGGGGGAATACGCTATTTAAAGGATCTTTGAGGACAAAGACCTACGGAAGGAGGGGATGATATTACGGAACTCTCACGCAACGACGCTAATGCGGGGGGAAGGAACACTAATACCCAATCAACTTGGATTAGTTAGCAAGGAATCGGATTGGATAACGTTACAGGAGGACAATTATTGCGTTATAAAGACCAATACAGTCACGTGATCAGCCTCATAGTCGAAAGATGATCAACAAGTAACGCTACTATTGCGTTACAGGGACAACCAAACCACGTGACGACTCATCGGGCGATGAGCCCGGAAGATATCAAGCGATGAGTCCCGAACTCATCGCCTGATAGGAAGGACTGGATATATAAGGACATTCATTCAGCATCATGTATTTAGTTCTTCGCGATCAATCATCCAAGTTACTAGGATAGCACCTTTTATATATTGTTACTTAGTTACTACCTTTAGTACTTTGCACTACACAGTTCACCTTTAAGACAACCCAACCTACAAGTAGGGGATTCACTCAGTGGTAACACTTAGTGATTAACTTACTTAGCGCGCACTTCTGGCACGTTCTGCAAGATACTTAACAGGACCCAAACCCGACGTAAGGCTTTGCATAGCAACGGTACGGTTGCGAGATACTCTTGGAATCCGCAGTAGAACTAGGCAAGTATAACCTTTGAAGCTCTACTCGCAGTGACCGGTTGGCTCCGCGTAACAATAAGTCTATCGGTCGTGCGCACTAGCAGAAGTACTACGATTATAGAAGAGTACCACCGATCTAGAAGAGAGATCATAAAGGATAATAAACTTGATTTAATATAGCTAGGAAATAGGGTAGTATTTATATTATAAGAAATATACTAAACGATCATATAAAAGATTAAGAGATTAGAGTGTTATATAGTCTCCTATCTAGGTAGGTAATTTAATACGAGATCGTTAAGGATTAATCTAATAGATCTTATAAAGAAGATCTAGATATAAAGAGGGGTTATATAAGTAGGTCCTTCGTTATATAACCCTATAATATCTATATATTAATATACCCCCTTAGTTCTCGATATAAGAGTAGAATAAGAGTAAAGTAAGAACTAAATAAGAGAAAGAGAAATAGAATAACTAGATAGGAGGTAGTATCTCTATACCTAGTTATCTAATAAATTTAGTATACTTCTACCTAGGTAGGTACTTAGTGAGACCGTCTACGGGTATATCGGTGATTTTAACCTATTAGATAGATAGGCGCTTTACCTATACCTCTTAACGAATCTATAGGCGGTTAGTATCTATATAACGAAGTTTAGTCTAAAATACTTTTCTCGCGATTTAATAGGTTAACGGTTTACTTATTATCGTAATTTAATACTTCTTACTATTTAGTATTAAATTCGATAAATTTGAATAGGCGTTTAACCTAGTATAGCTACTTAGCTACGTATAAGATAGTTAGTAATTTAGCTTCTATAGTAGATATAGTTATCGTCTTCTACCTACGAGATTTCTACTCGATTAGACTACGAAATAATAAGAAGATAAAACCTTCTAATAACTTCTTATTAAGATAATTAGTAAAGCTTATATCGGACGAAGTAGTAAAGATCTAGTAATCTAATTAGCTACTACTAAAGTAGATAGCTAGGTCTTTCGTCCTATATAGGTAGGAAATTAGGGAGTTAATAGTAGCTAGGTACTTCTTATTATAGCGTATAAGAGATTTAGCTAGTAGCTAATTAGCGAAAGCGGTGTTTAGTCTAGTCTATATAGTAAGGAAAAGGGTTAAACTATACTTCTACTAGTATAGTTTAACGGTTAATTAGTTAATTTAACTAGTGATCGGATTAAGACGTTAATTATTAATTAGTAATATATTAGGCGGTTTCCTACCTAGGAGGTTAAATTTAGTAGCGATCTTTTTAATATAGGCTAATTAGTTTAGCTAGGTCTTTCGTCGCTATCGGTCGTGTATAATTCGAATACTAATAAATTAGGTAAGTTTACTATAGTCCTTTATCTTAAAGCGCTATAAGAGAAATTACTTTATCTAGTAAGCGTATAATCTCTTACTTCGGTAGTAGGTAGCTAGGAAATCGTTAATAAATACTATAATAACTATACGATTATCTATATAAAGCGTAGAGTCTTTAGGATAGCTTTTAAAGCCTAGTAAGAGAATTATTTCTTTTACGTCGTCTTCCTATCTCTTACTAGCGATTCGAAGACTATATACTATCTTATATAGGCGTAGGACTATTAACTTTCGTCCTAGCCCTAATAAGTATCGGTAGTATACTTCTTCTTTAAGATTACTATTTAGGAAAGCGTTAATAGTATCTATCTAAAAGGTCTCGAGGTTAAAGTACGTGATAATTATTATAAGCGTACGAAAGGTCCTCGTAGCGAGCGTACTAGTATATAGGTCTTCTAATTCGTCTAGTATCTATATATCTCCGCGTACGTATAGACGCGCTTTAAAACGTGTAAGATATCCTAATTCGTTAGATTTATAGGTAAAGACCTATCTTATTAGTATAAGCTAGTAGCGTAGGTAATCTAATTAGTTAAGATCTTTATAATTCGATTAGTATATATATCTAACGAGATCTTTATTAATAGATTCGAATACGTATATATCTAGAAGCTTATTAAATTCGATTTATATAGCTTATCGGAATTAGCTTTCGAAAGGATAACTAGCTAATTAGTAGTAGCTAGGTAGTAGCGAAGGAATTAATAAAATCGTAATCTTTAGTTATTAGTGTTAATTAGATAAGAAAGCTTAGAAATAGAGTATAAGGAATAAGTAAGGGCGTTTTCTCTTACTTTCGTCGTTAGTTAAATCGGAATCTAATTATAGGCGTTTAGTTAGTATATTAAGAGGTTTATATCTAGAAGGGTCGAAGTTTATATTATTAATTAAGACGAAAGGGACTATACCCTCTAGTTCTAATTCGCTAGATCTTATTAATTCGTCCGATTTCGGTTTAAGCGGTAGTATAATTAGTTAATCTCCGAGGATTTCGTCTATTAGTATAGGTATAGTATAATCGATATTAATAGTAGGACTACTACTTCTTTTATCCCTAAGATCTTATTATACCGGTTAGTTAAATAGGATATCTATATCTATAAGGATTTAATTAATCTCTTCGTCGTTAAGGGTATTAATCTATTAAGAAAGATTAGTTTCCTTATAGATTTAGATACGTTAATTAGGTAGCGAAGGATTATAGGATTCTTCCTCGTTAAATTAGACGTCTCGTATATGAATTATACGTCGTTTAGTAGATATCTAGATACGCTAGATATTATAGGCTTTATAACCTACTAGATAGCTAATAGTAATACGTGGTGCTAGCTTAGCTAGTCTGGGTAGCTTAGTAATACGTATATAAGCTTTATATCTAAAGATTCGAATATATAAGAGATCTAGCTTTACCTATAGCTAATATAGTACATTTTTACCGAGGTAGGTAGTAAGCGCTTTGTGTAGGGACTACTAATCTAGTATACGGTAAGGTAGGCGGTTTTGAATATAGACGGTAGTTCTAGCTACTTTATACTAGAGATAGCTTAGTAGGTTTAAATCGATAATTATCTACCTAGCTATCTTTAAAATGAATACGCTATAACGCTTAGTATAGCCGTTTTAGTTAGGTTAGTAGGGCGGTATAGTTTCTAGGTAGATACTACGTGATTATACTTCTTAATCGAAGAATTTAGATAGAGATCTTTCGTTATCTAAATAGATAGTAAGCACGCGTAGGTTAAATTAGTTATTAATAAAATCGATCTAGTCGTAGAGAGATTATATTAAATCTATCTTAGTAGATAGATCTTCCGCTAGTTAGTATTTAGTGATAGGATCTATAGAGTAAGATAGGTAGATCGAAGTATATAAGATCCTAATATAGAGATTTAAAAGGACGGTTATATTATATAGGTAATCGTGAGATTTAACGGTATAAATTAGCTAGTTTATATATCTTATAGTAGTTAATAGGCGAAGATATATCTTTAATAGTAATATCTAATAAGTACTCTAGTAGATACGATAAGACGTCCTTACTAACGTATCCTAGTCGTCTATACTATAGGTCGATTATCCTATCTAGATACTTCTTAGTATATAAAGAAGATAGGGTAACCTTACTAAATTACTTAGTAATAGGTATAACTTAATCGTGTAAGATAGAAGTAAGAGATAAGTAAGAGATAGATAAAACGTAAGCGTAGTTAGTAGTAGTTAGTTAATTAGTGATTAAATTATCCTATCGAATTAGGTAGGTACCTAATTTCGCGTTAAGCTTATAGATAGGCGTTCCGTCCTTCTCTTCTAGTAGATAATCCTTACTATTTAGATAGATATCTACGCTAGTAGCTCTTTCTATAGAGATTAGGTTAATATAGAATCTAAGATAATAGATAACTTATTTTAAAGGGAAAGTAGTTCCGTTAAGAGATTCTAATAGTTTAATAGATAGTTTACTATAACTAAGGATAGTAGTTTTAGTATTTCTAACTATAATAGAGGATATAACGGGCCTATAGTTTAATAGTAGGTCTCTATTATTCGTAATATAAATTAATACTCTAATATTATAGTACTAGGTATTATTCTTCTTATTTAGAATCCGGATAGTGCTTATTATAATATTATCTTCCTCTCGAAAGAGAGTCTCGACCTATTATTTTAGTATATAGGTAGAGAAAGCGTCTCTAGTAGTTAAATTAGCTAAATTAGTTAAATTAGTTAAATTAGTTAAATTAGTCGAATTAGTCGAATTAGTCGAATTAGTTAAATTAGTCGAATTAGTCGAATTAGTCGAATTAGTTAAATTAGTCGAATTAGTCGAATTAGTCGAATTAGTCGAATTAGTCGAATTAGTCGAATTAGTCGAATTAGTTAAATTAGTCGAGTTAGTCGAATTAGTTAAATTAGTT